AATTAGTTTATATAAAGGTAAAAAAAAACTGACCTAATTAAAAAAGACAAAAAAAAAAGTATTAAAAATTAACAACAAAAATAAAACAGAAGAAGCACCTTTTTACTGTCCACATGCCAGACTGCTAAAAAGGCACAAAAAAATAAAACTGCATTGTGAAAGGCAAAACTCTCTATAAAGTCCCTATATTTATTTTAGATTTTTTATTAAACCGCCATATTTTTATTACAGTAAATAAGCCACTACTTCACGATTTAGACAATTTAATTTTTTTTATAGCAAATTTAAAGTCTATTTATATTTTATTTGTGTGAATAAAATCAATACTTATTATGTAGATAATAATATGCTAATATTTTATTCACATGAACATATAATTGATGTATAAATAAGTATTAAATTTATTATATAAAAAAATAATTAAATTATTTAAATTATTAAATTTATAGTTTATTTACTTAAATAAAAATTTAAAAACTTAATTAAAAATCTAAAATAATTTTGAGACTTAACCTAGGCTTTGCTTAAAATAAATTCAGAGATGGAAATTGGAAGCAAAGCAATAACGTACACAATCAACACAAACAAACAAACCAACACGAAACAAACCAGAAGCCTAAAAAGCAAACAAAAAGTAAACGAGAAAGGATTTTACATGCTGGATTGGACTTTTAAATTAATTAAAATATTTTTAATAGAATTATTTTATATTATTTTATTAATATAATAATAGTTTAATAATTTTATCATTTGAAATAATCTTTTAGTAGTTTTTTTTATTAATATCTCAATATTCAGTAATTATATTAAATTTTGAATAATTTAAAATTAAACTTATCAAACTTTATTTGGGAAACTTTTTTAATATTTATTTTTTTATTTATAAAATTTAAAATTTAAAATTTTATTTAAAAAAAATCAAAATTTTTTCATTCCACACAATAAATTATTGATAATATTCTTTTAGCAGTATATATTATTAAAAAATGAATTAGAGGGAGAAAAACTTAAAGCAGCTACTACGCGGCGCTTATAACCACTACAAGACAAATCGTTCGCGACGCCCAATCGTCCTTATTACTGCCCCCTCCTCCTCTTCCATAGCAGGTGACGGCCCCACCCCCTCCCTCTCTCTCTTTTTCTTCCCCCCGCTCCTGTTTATTTTTCCTCCTCAAGAAAACGCCGTGACAGTGAAGGAGAAAACATTTTTGAATGAGCGAATAGCCATGGTGGGTTTGAGCGTAGTTTTGGAGAATCAAAAAAATGGTTCTATTATTAGTACCAGAAAACCTACTCAAATCATCAACAAAACCACCATGCTTGATTCACCGTCTGTTTGTAGAAATTCCTCTGTCAAGAATTTCCCTGTCCAGGCAGCTTTTCTTGAGTATTGCTTTCTCTGTCGCCAGAAGCTTTTACCCGGAAAAGACATCTACATGTACAAGTAAGCCAGCTCTTGCTTTCCTATCTGCTTTTATCTTTCTTTTTCCTATCGGTTCAGATCTTTGCAATTTTCGACGACGGAACCCAGATACTTGGGTTGTCCTTTATGCATGCGATGTGTTTTTTTTTTTAATATTTTGTCTGTGTGAATGAGGAGGTGCTGATTCAGGTGGGTTCGATTCTTCCTTTTTTTTTTTTTTAGAGGGGACAGGGCGTTCTGTAGCGTGGAGTGCAGGTGCAGGCAAATTTTCATGGACGAGGAAGAGAGCATAAAGAAAGAGAACTGTTCATTTGCAGCCATGAATCCACCACAAACGACGGCGGAGTCAGCATCGCCATCAACCTCTTCATCGTCCTCTTCCGGTTCTCGTAACCGCAGAGCTGAAAGAAACCGAGGGGTTGGTTTTGCTTGCTAGGAAAGAGGAGGAACGAAAAAAATGTATTCTCTTTGTTAAAAATTGTTTTTTTTTTTTCCTTTCAGTTTTACCCTTGGAAGACCTTATAATTACATTGGTGTCCTCCGTCGTTTTGCTTCCTTGGATGAAGGCAGGAAAGGGACATTAGTGTGAGACCCTGCGGGTGTTCGGTTTGCTGTTTTCCCATACCCAGGAGCATTGTTTTTTTTGTGTGTGGAAATTTTGTCACTTTAGGAAGGGTATTTCTGGTACTTTATTTTAATATTTTTAATTTTCCAAAAAAAAAAAAGATTAATTCCCAAATTTCAATTTCATGAGAGTTAGTATCATTTTTCTTGGGACGTACAACGCAAGACGACAACGAGTGATTTAGCTGGACTTTTTGAACACAGGTTTTCTAATGTACTGCTACAATAAAAATTGAGGTACGGAAAGATTGTCATGTGGTATGGTTACTGTATTGTCCCACAAGAAAATATTATAGTTATGTAGATATTTTATTATGTTATTTTTAAAAGTATTGATTTTATTTTATTTAATATATTTGATTTAGAGAGAAGAGGGAGAAAAAGAGAATTTTTTAATTAATTAAAAAATATTTATTTTTTAAAATTAAAACACTATAATTGTATATAAATAAAGAGATTAAGAAAAATTAAAATGTCAAGAATAGTAATCAAAAAATTAAAATATCATTAATAAATTAATACATAAAAAAACTTATTAAAATAGTTAAATAATTTTATAAAATATCATGACATGCATTTAAAGTATTAAAATATTTTAACATTTACTCTTTCTCATAAACAAATGATTTTTTTTTTAATCCAAGTAAACAATTAATCTAAAAGTTCGTAAATTTAGTACAATTATTTCTCTTATTACTGATTGTATAACCACTATTACATGTAAAAAAAAAAAAATTGATAAAATTGGTGAAGTCTTTTCTAGAAGGAATTCGGGATCGGAACATTTAAAAGAAAGGGGGGCCAAATCCACTTTTAGTAAAAGGTGATTCATGTTAATGCAATTAACTAATAATTTTTTATATGTAGTACAAAGTTACTGCAAAAGTTTATATGTAGTACAAAGCTAACGCAAAAGTTCAATATGTGTTCTCAACGCTATGGTTGGGGTGGTTCGATTCTATTTATTTTATTTATTTAAAAGAATATTATTGGGAGGTTTGACTCTCAATTCTTTCTTTTTCACTCTTTTAATAGTTATAAATAATTATATTTATTTTTAAAAAATACTAAAATTTAACATGTAGAGTGAAATATAAGATTAACAATATTTTCATTAAAATAGTTAGTAATAAGTGAAGTAATTTTTTAATTATATTTAACTCACTTTTTTTTATTATACTTTGAAATAAGATTTTTTCACTTAACAATCAATTTATAAATGTAAACAGTACATATATAACCTTAACTATAGTACAAAACTGAAGAAATCAACTGATGGTTACTCAAAATCAAAGAAAAAAAATGAAAAACTGGTGGTTACTCCAATAACCCATGCATTAAAAAATTAAAATTACAGAAGGAATGAGAAAGGGAATTCGAAGAATTTAGTACTTTGAAAAGAAGAACAAAGTTTACGGTCCCCATAAGAACCTCTATTGCAATTAATAAAATTGGTTTATTTCTTAAAACCTCCCTCGAGATTTTGTCGGTTTCTAGAAAAATTTCCTTTTTAGTTAAACTTATAAGTAATGGGAGAAGGCAAAAACTTACCTTTAGTTTTTTATTTTAATAAATTTGTAAATTTTAATTTTTTACTTTATATTATAATATTTTTAACCTTTTATTTTAATAAATTTATAAGTTTTAATCTTTAATTTTATATTATAACATTTTTAACCCTTTACTTATATAAATAAAAAAAATAACTCTAACTTAATATCAGGTTATAACGTTTTGTTAGTTTTGTTAGTTGACTGTTAACTCTGTTAATTTTGTTAGTTAACTGTTAGTTCTGTTAGTTAATTATTAACATTTATTAATATTTTATTATAAAAAATATAAAATTTAAATTTAAATTTATTTATTAGTTTCGTTAACGAAATGTTAATGAAACATTAATATTCAGTAACTAATATAATTAATAAAATATTATAATTTAACCTTAAATAAGAGTTATTTTTTTCAATTTGTATAAATAAATGGTTAAAAATATCATTATATAAAGTGATGGATTAAAATATTTAAATTTATTAAAATAAATAATTAAAAATACTGTACTATAAAATGAGAAGTTAAAATTATAAATTTATTAAAATAAATAACTAAATATAGGTTTCAGCGTAATGCGAGTAGGAATGGCAGTTTTTGGCTGCAGCATTATTAATGCATGTGGTAGATATATATATATATGTATATATATATATATATTGTCTGTTTTCACCAAATAGCAAAAGGCAGCTGCCCCAAGGATTGAGTTTTCCTTCCAAAAGGCCACCCTCTTAATTCTTATTAGGTGCCCACTGTTTCATAGCCCATTTTCCAGCTACTAAATGTGTTTTAAAGACATGCAACACTTGTCAAAATTTCAATTATTCTTATTTATTATATCTTTTTATTTTCATCCATAAAAAACTGTGTTCCCTCGTACCAAAATTGTGCTCCCTAATTGATCCCAATAATTGAGATTTTTTTTTTCCACTGAATATGATTATCGTATTTTGCCATCTAAACCGCAAAATATTAAACTATAAATTCAACATTTGAGTTTGGTTTTCATATGGTTGACAGCAATCATTTCTTAAAACGGCTGCTAAAACAAAACAGGATGCAGTAGTTGAGTTTGGTGGTTTGAATATAACCTGCTATGATAAGTTATGATGTAAGATTTAAAAATAATACTTCTAATGTAAAGTTTAAACTCAAAATTAGTAATTTTTGGTAAAAGTGGTCCATTGATCTATTGTAGTAATACTTGTAACCACAAGAGAGAATAGCGTCTTCTTTATGATTCATCATAAATTATATTTGTTATGGTATTACTTTTAATTATTTAAGAGATTGTTTAGTATGATAATTCTAAATTATTAGAACATGGTTTTGCTCAAACCACTGTATAAATATTTGAAGTTTCAATCGAAGTGTAGGTGGTAACCTACATTAGCCATAGAATTATTAATACAGCTAACAAATCTAACACCTATCCCCAGTTTAGCTCTTGGTAAAGGAAACATCAACAATTTAGCAATTCTAAAAGTCTACTCTTTTAAAAAAAAAACAAAAAAAAATTATTATCAGTTGAGTCTAGTTTCTAAAAAGATCGCTTTCATAAAAGTTAATAAAATTGAGCTAAATGCTTTTTATTAAAAAAAATTGATTTGTTCAACTTCTAAATGAATAAAAGCTAAGGTCTACACACTGTAACTTCTAAAATAAGATTTTTTTAAAAAATTATTTTAAATAAATTCATAATTCAAGTAATTATTTAAATAATATTTATATATATAAAATTTTTTTTGTGTAATTTAAATTATTGTACAAAATCAATCATTAATAAGAGAAAATTTCATGAATGTGACACCACCAATCTTCGATGATTAGATATGATTTTCCTTTTTTCCAGTTCATATTGGGCTGTTCGTAAAATCCATGGCGAAGCATACTGTTTCTCTGAGTAAATTAAGTAGTGGAGATGAGTTAGAAGAAAGGTTGGATGAAAAGACATTCTGAAATACAACAAACAATGATGAGGTCCCCAACCTGTCAGCGCAACAAGGAAACTACCAAAAAAAAAAAAAGAGTAAGATGGAACTTTTAAAGGTGGAAAGGTGAAAAATTCCCTTGAAAAAGGAATAAAAAAATATTCTGCAGTCTCTCTTACATAAATTATAAAATATTAATTACATAATTAATAAAATTTTTATAGAGCCAGTGATTATGAGATTGGTTTTCACAGTTGGTGCAAAAAACAGATTATAAAACACCTAGTTAAAAAAAAAAAAATTCCATTTCCATGTTTTAATCTAGTGGTTAAAATCTTTAGTTAAATAAAAAATTACTTTTTGTAAATTACGTTTTCAAATCTTATATTCCAAACAAAAAAAAAATCAACTAGTGGGAAAAGTTTGGCATAAAGGGTTTGAATTTGAAGGAAAAAGAAAAGGTTAGGAATTAGGACAATAGAATCTTACACCTTTTTTTTTTTTTATCTCTTCTTTCCTATGTGCCTATGTCCAAACAAGTTCTGAAAGATGGAACCCCTAGGGAGGGTACCATAAGAGAGAAAAAAGACATCTTGGGTACTAATATGGAATAACCACATATATAGGGTTTGCCACTCACTTGTCTTTATGCTCTGCCCTGCTACACTCCACAGTATCCTTTCCCTAGAAAGGGACAGTGGTTGGGTTCTTTACCTTCCCCCCCCCATCTTTTTCCCTACTCAAATAATCTCAAGTGGGACTTCAGAGTTTGTGGGATAACGTGGGTGGCCACAATCACACCGGATTTGATTTGATTTGATTTTGGAGCATTTAGCATCAGGAGGATTCTTGAGACTGTTCATGGGATTATGATTCTAGGTTCTTTGTGGGTGGTTCTATTACAACAGAATGATGGTGAAGAAGAGACTAGATAAGGCATAAAAGATGGAAAAGGTAAATAATGAGGCACTGCTAAGATTATATCTGCAGTTTAGAGGCAAAAGGTTGCTAAGTTGCAAAAGTTAAGCTCTGCAATGATCATTCAAAATTTGCTTCACCACTAAAATCTAGTTGTTATGCATGATCACTCTCAAATGCATGTAAAATCCACATAAACGTGGAACGTACATGCCAGTGATGCAAATCTCATTGCATGCACGTGGCAACTCAGTTTAGGCCATGGAATCTCACTATCTGGTTATCATTCCCATCATCTGAATAGCAAAATGTCTACTAAGTACAACAGAAATGAAATATACAAGCTACTGTCACATGAACTAATTGAATGTGAATTAGTAGCAAGAACACTAAGAATGGGGCTTAAAATTTGAAAACTAGTTCAAATTTGAACAATGAACTAATTTGATGCCCCATCATTCACAAAGAGACAGAGACTGTTTAAACTGGACCAATCAAAAAGCAAAGAAGACTCTAATTAGCATAGCAAACCCAGTTCAACAGAACTGAAATATACACGCTACTGTCAAGTACAAGAATACTTGGGCTGAGGATTCAAATACATACAGTTGCTGCTTATAGCACACATAAAGATAAGCTCATCGTTGTTATTATCATTAACATTCTTTGTCAACCTTAACCATCATGGCTAACCAGATTTGAAGAGCAAAACTGCTTTCTGGTCCAGATAGAAATAAATGAAATGGTTTGTCTCATGAGTAACATATGAACCTACAAAAAAAATTAAGGAATAAGAACGTCAGTGGAACTTATTTTGAAACCTAAACCAAACTAGAATTCAGTTTTGTTTAAACAACAAATGAAGATTACCAAGTTAATATGGCAATATCAAAGCAATTTTTATCTTAAAAAAGGGCAAAAACTGGAAAGATAGTTCACCAAGAGTACATTAATAGCCAAGGAGATGACTTGTGTTTGGTTACTGGCCAAGCTAAATTATAACAGCATACGTTCTAAGGTTCATGCTTTCTGGGTATAGATGTCCACCAGAGATTACTCAGGAGAACAAATATGAGTTTCTGCATTGAAGCTTTTGAATTATGCATGGAAACATTGGGATATTAGCTGAAATGAATGAATACTGATTTATATCAGCTTTAGTTTCTGAACAGCCTGGTTGTCTGCCCTGATTACATCAAACCTAAGAGAAATCTCATTACCAAATTTGAACATGCAGATGGCCAAACTTCTCCCCAAGAAGAAAAAATATGTTGTTTAAATTAAAAGATGCTTCCCAAGATTGTAATAAAGAAGATTGGACCTACCCCATGTGGGCAGAATGTGATAGTAGACAAGGATTTATACTATATCTTCCAGAAAATAATAGAAGTGAGTTATCAACCTAACAACATCCTCATTTTGCCCATAATTCATTCAAAAATCAGCCCAACTGACCCAAACTGCATACCCCTACCTAAATGCAGCTTAAGCTTGTACAATTCATATTTCAAAACCCAGACAATTGATTTGGTCCTTAGTTTAGCAACTCAGCACATTTTAATTTTTCCCAGATCAAAACAAGCAGATGCTTAGATTGTAGTTCTGAAAAAATAGAGACACAACTGGGATTGATCACACTTTCCTAATTAACAGGAAATTGTCTGTCTTATATATTAGGGTAACTATGCTCAAATTGCAGGTTTGGCTGAAGTGATGAAAACAAAATGGATTATGGATTCTTTCAGATGCAATTAACATTCAATCTAGCTTAGCAATGAAAACCGTGTTAGATCATAAACATTAACGCCCGTAACTTCATGGAAACAGAGAAGGCTTTTGAATCTACCACATTCCAACACCTTGTACATTTCAACTTAATGGAAGCAAAATGAGTAGCTTCAAAACTATTTCACCAGTAGTTTTGCGGCCTAATGACACCTTAGTAGCCATATGAGACATTATGATTTATGGCATTGCAAGCTCCAATTTATCTCTTTTTGGTCAGTGACAACAATGCATATCCACCAAATTTTATTTCTTTGCAATGGAGATATAAACTCCACCAACCTGAGTTTAATGTTGAACCATGCATAGCTCCATTTTGGACGTGTTCACCACATTTGTAAAAGATAATATCTTTTAAAAGTTTCGTTAAAAATCAAAAGCAATGAATATGTGGGATCAATAGATGGATCAAGTTGTTTTGCATTGGTTTATGCAATTCCTGGATTCAGAGATTAAAGATATAACTAAATCCAATCAAACTGATTTATGTAGACCAACAACATCTAGGAGTGAAAAACAAAAGGGATTTTTGTCTCTTCCAAGACTTTCCTAACTCCATAAGAGTTAATCAGCGAGGCTAGCAAGAGCTGGATAATTTTAACAATAAAGAAGTAGTGATACAGATATCCATAATAACGAAATCAAAATCAGCACACTCAACATAAGATCTGCAGCATTCAATTCTGTTTTGGTTTGTTACTAAGAGATCAGAGTTCAGAAGAACATATCCAATATACGTTGAGATTTTGATTTAAAGAAAATCGCATATATCTACTGACAGCTAAAAAGTGAAACATCTGCAACATTCACACACATATAAGCAATGCCTTAAGTCTTGATCAAAACTCATTTCCACCGAATCAATTCCATACTCATAGGCCAAGTAATGAATCCCCAAAAGAGTCAACTTTATGCACAACAACTTCCATAAAGCTATCTCTTTGGTAACCAAATAAAGACAGCAAATATGCAAATCAAATCTAAATAGAATCATAAAGGAAAAGGAATTAGAAAAAAATGGTTACCAAAATTGCGCCCAACAATGCAGTGCCAAGTGGGTCCATGTTTCTTATCAAATTCCTTCTTGATGTGCTCAGCAACATCCTTCTCCACATTGTGGTTCTGAAATGCCTGAACACCCAAACACAGTTTAAAATCAAACATCACCTTTGCCATTAAAACCCAAAACCCAGAAAAAGGGAATCAAATAAAAAAACCCAGAAGCCAAAACGGGTGAGAGAAAATGCAAGGACTAACAGCGAGGGCGATGTCAACAGCTTCTTTCTGTATGTCATCTTTCATGTCGGCGCTTTTGATGACGACACGCTTAGCGGCAGCAGGAGCAGCCCCGGGGGCAAATGGCTTCCGATCATCGGAGTTGGGTCTCAGCACTATAGCTCCGGTGACGTTTTTCTTGACGTCTTCAGCGCTCATTGTGTACTGGGTCGAATTGGTAAAAGAAGAGTCTTTGATTTTCCTTCACAAAGCAAAAACGCAGAGACAGAAAAACACCCTCTTTTACCGGCAAGTGGTCTGTTAGCTCCACATATAAATTAATATATAAATTAATTTAATTTAATTTAATTAATTAGTTTTATTTTTCAAAAATTTCCTTAGCTTTAAAAGTATGCGTTTCAGTCCTATAGCGGTGACCAACATTTTTATCAAATAATATTTCGTTACTTAATCCGTGAAGTTTTATGAGTTTTTTATTTTTTATAAGGGTGAATTATATTTTTTTTCCTTTTTTTATTTAAATTTCTCAACAAGGAGTTATTGTAAATTAACAATATATATATATATATAAGTATAGTTATAACTAAATAAATATGATTAGTAACTTAAATTGGAAAAAAAGAAAGTTAGTCATTGACATAAATCATTACATCTCGCTTTGAAGGACGGTAAGGGACTAAAAAATGTAACTTGACAAAAAAATGAAATAAAAAAGGTGAGATCTAGGTTTGCCACATAATTAAGCATTTCAGTTGTTCTCCGTTTTTAATTTAAGGACCACAATGGAAGGACTTTCTTGATATAAATTTAAAACAGTAGGTGTTATAATTACTGGTTATAAATTTACGTCCATAAGTGGCAAAAGTGTGGGGACATGAATTACTAGTAATAATTACATGATATTTTCCTAACACTCTAACAGGCACTGGAATGCGACTGTCAGGAGAAATCAGAAATTTTGTTGAAAAGAGTAGTAAATTACACTATCACCACTAATTTTTTTAATGGAGTTGTGATTCACTCCCTCAAGTTTTTTTCTATATCATTTTTCTTTTCTTTTTTACATGGAGAATCATTGGAGAATGAGGATATTTTTCAAATAATTAATAAAATTTGAATTTTCAATTAACTGAATCCAAACACTAAAATTTGAAACCAAACCATTAGACTCAAAGAAGAAGCGGTTCTTCTATATCAATTTAATCATAGCCTTTTGTGTAACAAAAATAAATAATAATCCTACGTAAAGCCACCACGAATACTTTTGAATATATTCCTTATCGCAAACCCTGTCAAGGCACCTGAAGTTTTAGGGAAAGATAAGAGAAGAAAATTGAATTACCATATGGGAAACTTAGGCTTTGTCTAAAAATGTCATGATTTCATTCACCTTTCTCCTTGAGTATTGACATTTGTATATTCTACTTCTGTCCGTCTGTTCCTCTAAATTAGAAACTTAAAGCTTATATAGACAATAATAACTCCGTCTCTCTTGCCTACTCTTCATCATCAGAATCATGCACAACCATACCTCTTTTCAGCCTTTTGGTGTTAGGAAGATCACTTCTATCTTCAGCTTCACATTCAGAATCCTCTGCAGCTAAAGGACTACCAGGCTGAGGTGATGAAACTTTCTCCGATTCATTGCCTTCGTTGTCTTCAGAATCACTGCCTGATTCATTTTCATCTGCAGCACTGTTGTTTTGGTTGGCCTCATGATCTGGAACATCTTCTCCGACAACATTCTTGGGGTCTAATATCTTAAAATCCCTGGCTGTGCTACGCTTGGCATGCCTCAATAAGTTGATTTTGGTTGCCTTGCTAAGTTGAATGAGGTACCTCTCGTAATCTTCTATCTGGAAGATCAGGTCAGGGATGCATTTATTCTCCCTCCTTATCTTGTTGATGATGCCCTTATTGTTGCTATTCTCTTGCTGTTCCTGGAGGGAGACAATAAAAAGGAACAGATCAAAGTGCTTCCATGACAGGTGTTTATGAGCATAAAATCAGGACAAAAATGTTTGAAGATCAAGGAATATACTTGTTGCATCTCTGCCACAAAGTTATAAAGAGGGACAGTTAGCTGCTTGCAGGTTAGTTCCACAAGCTTCTGGAATTGAAGGCTGGGTAAAATCTGCTTGCAACCTTTCGGAGCAATCTTTAGCTTCGACATCTGAGCTAAATGCTTGTAGAACTTTGCAACCAATCTGAGAAAATGCTCTGCCTGCGAATCTGCATATTTTAGTAAAAGATTATGCATGAGTTCACTCAAAAGTTAAGAGAAAAGAGTAATATTCGGTTAGTGGTGAAAAGTGACAACTTACCCTTAAGGCTCATCAAAACAAAGGAAGATAATATTTCAACAACTGCTTTTGCACGTGAGTAAAGATTTTCCTCAAATGCCAACCCAGAAGTATGTTTCCCTTCGTGGTTAAGGTAAGTGCTCTTATGAGTGACTAGAGACGTGGTCTTCAGCTTTTTTGTGGCCCATTCCATATCTACAATGTCAGCTTCAATTATTTGCAGTATACAAGAAGTTATAGCAGAAGCTGTTGACAGGTTTATGAGGGAGAATGATTCAGACGCTTCTAATGAATCACTGTTGTCTGATTGTATAATTTTTAACATCTTCTTGGCCATGTCCTGAGCCACTTGCATATCAGTTGGAGGTGAGTTTAAACAGATAGCAAGTCTGATCATGCTTTTAACTACATGGAAGTTCTTAATGTCATTGGTTTTGCAGATATCAATGACCCAAGCTCCATGAGAATACCTCAACTTGCTAGGCAATTTGTTCACAATCATCAATATAATGTCACATAAAACCTGAAAAACAACAGAATTATGCTTTAATTTTTTTATTCTGTTGTTGTTGTTGTCAATAAGAACAGTTAAGTAAATTGATAAACCTGTGTGGAACATCAAAACAGAACATAACTGAATGTTTAGACTTAAAAGTATTAAGGAAACCCCAGATACTACCACATCAATCATGGCTCAATCACACACAAGGGATATCAAGACTGAATGATTCTCACAATTACTTTGCCAATCATATATTCTGTAATAATGAAGATTCTGCACATTATGTATATTTCCATTTTTACTAGTTCCTTCCATAAGAGCAAATTAAGGCAACTACAGAACCTGTGTATATATATATATATATATATGTAAAATCAGTGAATAAAGATTTATCTTCCACTCTTAATCTCCCTTCTTCACCTTATTAAAAAGAACAGAACAGAACATAACAGAAATTTCAGACTTTTAATAATGCATTTACCTCAATACCGTCAAAAAATGAAAGTGAAAGAAGATCAGAGAGCAATGGCTTCAAAATTATCAGGAGGAACAGTTCTCTGTTTCTTATAGCTTGATTATCAGTGCAAGAGGCTAAATCACGTTCAGTGTCCAGACCAGCATGCTCAAGTTCAGAAACTGACAATAGATTTTCAACCAATCCAGTTAAGCATGAATCATATAAACTTATCGTGATCATCTCCTTCAAACAAATCAGTGCTAGATGGAGAAGTTCTTTTCTGTCCTCAACATCTTTCTTCCCCTTAATTTCCTTTTTCTTCTGACTTGTCATAACCTTTGGCCCTGATTTGAGCAGAAAGACTAATTTTAGCAGAAGGGGGCCCAGTGTCTTGATTTCCCCATAGACTAACATCTTGAGTGGATCTTCCTTTTTAAAAGTTGCTGAAGATTTTATATGATGAAGGGAAGCTACCAAAACAAAATGAACAAACGTAGAGCATTTTGATGTCTTGTCAGATGATTGGCTATTGTTGTTCTGCGAAGCTGCAGCATTACTGCAGCCTTCAGTGGTGCACAGCTTTAGAGCTATCTGCAAAAACTGATAGATACTTGAAGTTGCCAAGAAAGAAATTCTCTCCTGAATTGATTTGGAATTACTGGAACCAATGCTATCTTGTTTTTGACTAGCAGCTGTTTTCAATTTTTTGTTTGCATTACTCTGCCTTGATTTACGGGCATCCTTTACCAAAGTCTCATGAAGATCCACAAACTCAATAAGCTCCTTTTCAAGTTCCACCTTATTTGTCCCGGTCACTTTCTCTGACTCAGTAGCAATGACATTCAAAACCACTTCAACAATTCCCAATAAAATCAACGCAGAAGATTTTCTTTTCTCTTCATGAAGAGCTGCAGAGCCTGCATCCTGGCTGTGACCAAGAATTTCTGATCCAAGATCAAAACAATAGAAACTAGTAAGAAGCACCTACCCTTAAATCAACAAAAAAAGGTGTAAGTTCAAGCACAGGATTCCTGAAATAAATCATGTGATTAGAAGACCATCTTTTCCTTTCATCAATTTCTTAAGATTCTAACCAAAAGATGTAATAAACACAATTTCATAACAAATGTTACAAACCTTCCAGGTTTCCCTTTCTTAGCAACTTCCGGATCTTCAATAAAGCACTAGAAAATGACTCTTCAGACAAGTTTCTTCCTGCCTGCGGTAGTCTCATAATCATCATGCAAGAGAGACATCATATTTAACCAACTGGATTCTTGTTCTTAAGCAAGGATTGCATATATTCCACATCATGGTTTTATTCTTAATATTTTTTCTTTATGTAACATACCTCATTCTCTTGTGAAAGGGAGAAACCAAAACAAGTCCACACAGAATCTGATGGCTGATCAGTTTTACCACGTGTCTGAAGGATTAAAATCCAAGAGATGCAAGATAAAAGACAATCTAAGGGCTCCTCAACAAGTACTGTGCCACATTCAGACTTAACACAATTGCTCACCCCAAGTTGGACATCTGCATCCTGTTACCATAGTGGTTTATGCAACATCAATGAGTATAGAACCTAGTAACTTCTGTATACACCTAGTTACTAATTGTAAGAATCATGATGTACATAACAGTATGGGTTCCCTTGCCATGAAAAATGGCATAATCTTATTCAGCTATTACAACATGAGAGCTTAGTATGTCAAAAACAAGTTCAATATGAGCTTAATGCTATCTTGAAGTATTATACGGTATACCTCTTTGAAAAATCGATGGAAATGAGGTACGAGAAAATCTAGAACAAGACCTCCAGTTGATGGATCCATCAAAACAAGCTTTACCAGTCCTTGATACACGGCTTCTTTAACCTTTGCCTAAGTACGGCAAAATAACAGCACTTACAAGCTTTGTTCAGAAGAAAGAAAAAATGGTGCGGAATAAAGAAGGTTGAGAACAAAGGGGATACAAAAAAGGAAGAAGAAAGAAAGAAAAAGAAACACATAAAAAGAAACAACCTGCTGATGAAGACATCTCTGCAGCAAGCCACTAAGCTCTTGAAATAGATTTCTCCCCGTGCTCCATGGTATCTCGGCTTGCTGGCTGCCACTGGCTTGACTTGATGAGTCTTGGAAAGAAAATGAGCCATCTTTCTTAAACTGTTTCTCTGCCATTATAAGATCAATAATAGCATTGGTTGCTGCCAGACGGACTGTATCTTCTCGTCTAAACATAGCCTTACGCACAACTAAAACACAGTAATCCTGAAAATGTAAAAGAAAATATTCATAAAAAGGATGCAAAGTTTTCAGATTTTAAAATTTTAACTTGACTGAAGGTTAAAACTTAAAAAAGAAACATTTGTAACTTCAAATTGATGCTCAAGTTGCAGATTATTAATCAAAAATCTATACAACTGATATTTTCACCCTCTATTATAAATACTTTGTTTCTTTCATCCATTTTAGTGATTGTGATTCACTTACAGTGATAGAAACAAATGTATGAAACATCAAATGCTATTGTACATTGTTAAACTCCCTACAAGAGCAAATAGCAATAGCTTATTAAATTAAACATAAGAAGGTATTTACCTGAAGATCACGACTGAGTCTGGTGAGAGGCAATAGAGCATTAACAAGATTAGAGGCAACCTTATTATCCATGAAAGTAAAATAATCCAACAGTTCCTTGAGATGAGAGATATATTCCAACATTGGGTAAGGATAACTCTGAATCAAAAAACTTAGCAACCTGTACATTGAAACTAAGTGTTAAAAAATTATCAGAAATTTAGAATAGGTAATGGGGCATTCATCATTTTCCATAAAGAGAAGAAAGGAAAGGGAGCAGTGTTGTTGCCTTATGATTGGCCTACTCTGCTCTGACTTCAATGAAAGAATACGGAACTTGCATTGGTCAATAATCTGTGAAAGGATAACCAAATCAATTAATTTTGCATGTTCAAATAAAAAATACTGAATTCCTTATTTTACCAACTCTGAAGCAGAAAATAAATAAATTTTCTGATATTAAAATGAAGAAAAGCAAGAAGACTCATTGAAAAGTTTGATTATTTAATCTCCCTTTTTCTTTTTTCTCTCATTGTTAAAAATGGTCTGAGAACATTTTTAAAAAATTACCAAAAGATTATTTTATAATTGCAGGGTTAAACAAACCTCATTTCTTGCCATATCATGAATCTCAAATAGAGTTTTCAACATTTGAATACCAAGCTCTTCAATGCCAAGGAGACCATCAGATATGCAGAGATCTTTGCACTTGCTCTCTTCCACCGATTCTAGCAAGACAAAGCCAAATTGAACAATGCTGGGAATGATATGCTCCCTTCCGTAGTTGCTTTCATTTACCTAAACACCAGAAAATAGTAAATAATGAAAATCAAATTATCTTATCATGCATGTGCTGGGATCACAAACAAGGCACAGAAGAGAATTACAGCTCTTAACACAGACTTCTCCACAACTTTGACATTCTGCAGATAATCTTCCTTCTGATCATCTGGTATCCACTTACAGTCTCTAAAAGTGAGCAAGCAATCACCATCAAGTTAGAATATTATATACACAGAGGAAAACAATTCACATACTCCTGAAAGTGTAACTGAACACCACCCTGCTAGTATTAAATACATTCTTTTTGGTACAAGAGGATGCACCATGATTGAAACTAAGGATCAATGATCAAACCCACACCTGCTGGCCTCAAAACATGGCTACCTGAGTTTCAAGTGGATGTTACCCCCTTCTTCTGTGACACAGTATATCATAAGAGGCTCTGATAATTGGAACAGACACTTGACTGTTTAGGTTTTCTTTAATAGTTATTGAGCTAAATATTATAACCCAAATAAAGGAACATCAGGTCATCCATTGTGATCTTTAAGCCCCCTAGCTTAACAAGACAAACACAGCACTCAAGTTAATTACTAGGCTCTATCTTCTCCATGTCAGCCAAACTTAAGATCTTATATGTAAAATATCCTACAAGAATAAAGTCGCCATTGAAAGCAACGAAACCCATAACCACCAATGAAACACAACTAATTCACAACATATTAAGCTTCTAAAGATTTAATAATAAATAGATATACAGGGACATTCTAAGCAACCTTCCTTACCTGGCAATTTTGTAGTCCCGGTAAGCAGTAAATACTGCCATTTTCAAAATACCAAATGAGCTTTCACTGAACCTCCGTACTCTCGAAACTGATAATAAAACAGCCACCATAAAATGATTAAAGGCTCTAAGGTCAGATTTCAGTAACCCTAAAACCTCTTGGCCCAGAGAAGGATCCTGCTTCACAGCGAAATTCACATGAAGTAACACAGTCCCTTCAATCTGCCTAACTGTAGATGTCATTTTGGACCCCATTTTGGACCCAAAAAACCATACAATCCCTTCAATCACCTCCCTCTTATTGAACCCTTTAGATGCCAAAACCAGCAACTGGTATGCAAGCCAAGGCAAATCCTGCAAATCCACATTCTTCATCCCCATAAAAATCTTCCCCAAAAACTCCTTCCTTTCCCCCTTATCAAGAAACCCAAATTCCTTCACAATTGAAACCATTTTCACCAACAACCCTTTTGACCATTCACCCTCAATCATCTTGTTCACGACGGAATTGACGTAATCCCTGCCTCTCTCAACGTCCTCCGCAGTGCGTATGATATCCAAACACCTAGGAAAAAGATCGAGCAGCTGGGCGTCATCAAGATTCACGATTTCACCCAAACTTGACAAAATAGAATCAACAACAGATTGAAGCTCCTTAGTGGGTACATAATTCAAGAGGGTGTTGAAGAAATTAATGGTTTTGAGGGAATTTTGGTCATGGGGAAGCGAAGGGAAGATATGGGTATAGGATAGGAGGAGGGAGGAGAGGAGGGGATAGATAGAGGGGGTCTGGGGAGAGGCAGAGATAAGAGAGAGAAGAGAGACGACGTATTCATGGACGGCGGCGGAGGGGGAGGGGGAGGAGGCCCGGGCGTGGAGAAAGGATAAGAGGGTTTTGTGGGACTTCGGGGAGAGGAGAAATTCGGGGAGAGAATGGGTGGTTTGCTGGTGATAATGGTGTTGTTGCTGCTGCTGCTGCCGCTGAGCTAAATGCACGATTTCGGCGTCGTTCAAGGTCACCGGCGAGGGTGATTCTCGCTGCCGCTGTTCTTCACCGATGGTCATGGCGGTGACGGATTGCGACTTTCCACGTCTCTCCCTTCCCTTGAGGTTTTCTCGCTCAGTCGCTCTGTATTTTGCGCGGGAAAAGTTCGATTTGGGCTTTCCTCGGGCCCAACATGAGCCCAATAAGACCAATTACCAGATCCAAAATTTGGCCTGTATCCAATAATCTAATCCCCGGAAATTCAAGAGGCTAAACTACATTAGTCATTAAAATTTAGTTTTTATTTGCTTAAAGATACCAATGAAGGCATAGTTTTTTAAAAATTCTCTAGTTTTGAAGTGAATGGATTATTTTTAATAAATCAAAAAAGAATTTGTTTTAATGGATTTTTTTTTTTTTTTGAACATATTTGCAAGGGACGGGTTTCGAACCCAGCCTGGGGAAGGGGAATGCACCGGGATGGCTATTGCCACTAGGTCTCAAGGGCCAAGTGCTGTTTTAATGGATGTTTGAATTAACTATTTAAATATAGTTAATAGTTAATAGTTGATATTTAATAATTAATGATTACTGTTATTTATAATTAAAAATATTTAACTTATTTGATTAAAACTAACAATTAATAGTTATTAACGAAACTCCAAACCAAACATTCCCATGCAAGCTGAATTGAGGATACTCAAGTTGAAACCAACAAATTTTAGTTTTCATTTTGATCACAC